TTTGTAAAAGAAATCTTATGCGGTACTTGTAACAAAAAGTAAAGAACATTCTGTTTGATTTTGAAGTTGACAGCATCTCTTTAATTATAGTAAGTAACTGGTAGCACCTCTGATAAATAGTTTTCATTAGACATTCCAGCTCCAAATACCCAGAATATTTGCTATCTATATGACTGGTTTATGCCTGTGTAGAAAGTATTAGCAAACTTTCTTCAGTTGTTTTTAGGTTATGGGAGGAAGAACGCTTTCTAACCTTTTAACCTTTGTTTTAATTTTTAACAGTGCTGAATTTTGAAGGTTGGTATGGACAGTTCTTGCTGAGGAACTAGGGCTGGTGCTTGGCTTCAGGAGAAAAAATACATTTTACAGGATTTAAAAATTCTTTCTAGTGTTTTCTGGGGGCAGCAATGCTGTATGGAGCTTACTGCGGGCAAACTCTTGTGCTTGCGCAAAGCCTCACTCAGAGTACTGACTTCCAGTGGGGTTCTGTACAAGTGAATGAGGCCACCATCGAAATGGATTTCCTTGAAGGATCAGGGCATGCTTTAAGCAGAGCCTAGTGGTGGGATAACTCCTTTGTGATATCGCTGGACTGACTTGACCATCAAGTTCATGACCAGTCATGCCAGGGGCTGTTGCTGGGACAACTTCCATAAAATACATGTACATATTGAATCACGATGCTTTAAGATTGAAAAAAAATGAGTGAGACACAGATGCATGCATGGGTGTAAAATCTATGGAGGCTGTGACACTCCAGCTGACAAAACCATAGTCTAACTTATAGAATTGGTGTCCAAGGCTTTTTTGGCAGTATGTGCATGGCTGTGGAACCTTGTTCCATTAACAACTAGGCTGAGCTCTAGTCTGACTATCTTCAGGGCATGAAGCAAAACCCACCTTTCTGTCTGTTTTACTGACAGGAGGGTGGGCTCTGTTGAGTCCACTCAGAGTATATGCCTTCTGATAAGAGATAAGAGAGAGCTATGGTTTCATTAGATGTTCCATGAAGTAGGGAGGTATTTGAGTATACTGATTTTAAAGTAACATGAGCTAATTCACATTCAGGTTGCCCAGTTCAAAACTAGGCAAAATAAACATTGGATTCCAACAACACCGGTATTATAGCCATGTTGCGCATACATAGCACTTTTCTATTTCCTCGGTTTTGGTTACATGTTTAACTTACTATTTCCAAGTATATAGAAGGCACAGTATAGCCAAGTTATTGTTGCATCTGAAACTTTAACTTGTTTACTTCCTGACTTGCTTTAAAGTTGTGTATAACACAAGGTATTTTGTATTGAATACACACAGTTTTTATATCTCGTAGAGTCAGGGCTATGTAAATGCAGGATTTCTATGCCAATAGCTCATCTCCAAAGAGACAGAAGTTGGGTGGATTCAGTGTAGAATCAAGATCTGTGTGAACTTAGAACATTGACTGGGGTTTTGTTTTCAGCAGTCCCTCATGATTTATGGTTCCTGCCCCAAAAGGATATTTGTCATTTTTATAACAGTGTTAAATTTTAATTTATTTGAAAGAGTATACTAGGCCTTTGATTTGGTCATGTTCTTTGGAGGAGCCAGGGTCTTCCCAGGGAGATCTGACTGCCAGATTGGGACTAGCGTGTGTTTAGAAATAATGTATTGCCTGAGTGTGCCATTACGATGCAAGTCTGTGCTGAGGATTATGTGGAACTACACTGCCCTGTGAAGCCCTTTGTGAGGGTGCAGCTTGCCAGGCCTTCTGGCTGATACATATTGCAATTCTTCTAACTGTCCCACATATGTGCAACCCAATGGTGGAAGAAGGCTCCTTATTTGCCATTCACCACCTAATATTTCCATATTAAGTCAAGGCAGAATCTGCCCCATGGGAACCAACAGGTTACATAGGCATACTCTTTATTGCATCATGCAATCGCCGTGTCTTTGTTTTTGTATTAAAATAAGAACGACATTCACTTAAATAGAAAAACTTAGCCTTTTAAGACAGACTTTAAAGTTAATAATCAAAAGTACTCCAAAAATATTTCTCTACATTCTGAAATATCTAATTACTTTGGTGTATTATAACTTTTTATATTGTACTATCCTGAAATGCTTCACTTTGTTTTTGTGTTTGTTTTTTTAGGACCACTGAAGCCAGAAATTACCATAACATACATTGCTGTTTCAGCGATATTCTTTAACAGTGGACTTTCATTAAAAACAGAGGTATGGTAAATAAGTTCTCTATGATTCTTTCTTGGTTTATTTTAAAAGTTCGGGCTGATCTTCAAAAGCCATGAATGCAGTCGAGCACATTAAATTACTGACCCCTTTCTTTGATAGATGAGTAATAGAACCCTGTGAAAGTTAGAGCAAGATATACTGAGTAAAATTTACTCACCTGTGAAGGGTCTGCATGAGACACTTTATTGCTTCAGAAATCCCACAGTAGATCTCTTGAGATTGAGAAGGTGTAAATGGAGCCTCAATGCTTATGAACTATGCAGAGGGCTTAGCACCATCCCCAAATGGGGTTGACAAGAGCAAGTATGCTTATGATAGGGATGTAAAATCCTGTTTCATTAGTTAACGAGTTAAATGCAAAGTTTGACTGGTTAATTGATATAAACAGGACCTGGATGGGGTTGTTACAAATCTGTCCCTCTGTGTGTGGGCAATCAGACCACTCCAGGATCTTACAGAGGAGAGCTGAACGATTGAGGGCACAATGAGAGTAGTATCCTTATATTAGTTTTATTCCGTATATATATATATCAACAGACAAAGATGTTAAGATTGCTTATATGTAATTGCGAGATATTCTCTTCCTCTTTTCAAGCATACTCACACAAGCATACTTATCAGGTGTCCAATCTTGATGGTATCTGGAAGAGGCTGGCCATGCATGCGCTACTTCAGCTTCTCTGTTGATTCATCTCCACTGATGCCCCGGTGCAGAGGACCCTTACACACTTCTAATCAGTAGCTCTGTTGATGATTGACTGAGAAGCTGCTGTGTAAAACTTTCCTTTGGGTATCACACAAACAGTCATTCTCCTTAGTTTTGCTTTTTTTCATGTTGTTTGTTCCATGGTCACTTTGTGCAATCAGGTCTCCTGATGTTTTGCCTTTTTGCTTTCGGCCTCTTCTGTCCACTCCACAATCATTCTTATTTATTCTTACCCCATTAATTCATTATCATCAATACAAAAATCAATACAATCTGTGAGAATCATATCGGGGGCTCGCTCCAGCCTGGCTGTACTGAGCAGATCCCTGCCCTCTGCAGCTGGCTGGAGTGCCCTTACCTAGCCGCAGGCACGGGCTGGTCCAGCCTGTCCGGACCGGCAGCCCCTGCCTGCAGCTTGCCTGCTGGGTGGAGCACCCCTGTCTGCAGTGAGTCCCATAGGGCTGGAACAGCCCGCTGCCTGTGGCAGGCACGAAACTGCTCCAGTCCCCACCAGTTAACTGGAATTGATAACATCACCCTTAATGGATGATGCTTAACTAGTTAACCTTTCGCATCCCTAACTTGTGAGGATCCAGTGGGTTCAAAAGGTGTTTCAAAGGTGGACACCAAAGGGGATAGCAGCTGCTACCGCAGTTTATTGCCTGGAATAGTGGTCACAGTCGAGTTTTCTCTAGAGCTCCATAAATTGCTTTTGGCTTGGGAACAGTTTCCTAGAAGTTTCCATGGTTCCTGAGCCTGTTTCAATTCTTTCTTCCATTTTATTTTTCAAAAAAGAAAAATTGTTGGGGGAAAATTTTCCTGTATCTTAAGGAAAAGAAACATTGCCCAGTTACCTGCAAAACTGTGGTGACTGGGTGGAGAGATGCAACAGTTTTCTATCAAATTTTTGTTTGCCAGTGCATCTCAGGTAGCCATGCTTAAAAGAAAACCATTGCATATCTCTGTGAGTCTAGACTCTCTGCTCCCTTTCACTTTGTTGACTGATTTGATCAGTTAAGAGGATAACTTAAATGGGTGCTAGTGCATTTTAGTTAGTTGCACAGCAATGAGGAAATCAATAATTCAGCTAATATTTTGCACCAGAGTTTGACAAATCTATTTACCTACTCACCTTTGTGAAGTGGGAAGTTTCTCTTGACTATTTAGCCAGATTGTATTATTGAATTCTGCCAAATTTAAGCTTATACCATTTTAAGTTTTCAAGCTTATGGTTGTGAAGGTAACCCTCCATATGGGGGCCAAGTCTGAATTAATGCGATCTGAGTCTATAGTCAGATTGCTCCACTGCCACTGTTGAATCTCATGGTTTTGCCCAGTTATGGCAGCAGTGAAATCAGTAACTCTGGTTGGCTTCACTGCTGCTGTATGATGACCACAGATGACTTAGTGGTCAAGAAGCATGTCAGTTTCATTCTTCTTCATAGAAAACCAGTTAATACAAACAGAAGCTAGCCCTGTAGTTATTAATGGGGAAGAAGGCCCCACAACAGTGGGTGGGAATTGGTAGTGTTCAATAATTTCAAGTCTTGAAGCTTCAAATTCATAAAACGGCTGATAACGAGAGGCTGGTAAGAGAGTTGAAACCCCACTCCTTGTCCAGAGACAGAACAATGGTAGCCATGCCAATAAGTGAGGTGGTCAGCTAGGGACGTAAAATTTCGATTAGTCAGTAAAGGTGCTTCTGTCTTTGAAGTGTAGCGTAGGCCACAAGGCTGTTGCTATACTTCAAAGGCAAAAGTGCTGCGGGGAGCATGGGGCCAGTGGGGGACTCAAGCAGTCTCCTGCTGGTCCCGTGCTCCCCAGGCTCTATGCAGCACTGCCACTTTCAAATGCCTTGGGGAGCCTGGCATGTGGCATTTCAAAGCGGAAGCACTACATGGAGCCTGGGGTCATTGCATCAGGCTCTATGTGGCATTTCAAAGTGGCAGCGCCGCATGGAACCCAGGGTCAGCGGGGGAGTTGACCCCGGATTCCACATGGTGCTGCTGCTGGGGATTCCCCCAAAAGAGACAGTGGGGGGAGAGGGGAGAGTGAGTAGTCAACCAGCCTGTTGACTATCCGATTAGCATTTGCTTATCGGATAGTTGACTAGTCGACTAGTTCACATCCCTACTGCCAGCAGAGGGGCTTGGCTTCTATGTCTGGTTGGTGAGGCACTCTGACGCCCCATCATTTTTTGTATCTACCTTTGTCTAGTAGATTTACTATTTAGCAAGTTAAGTGCCTACCTCAGGTGTGGGGAACCTAAGGCCTGGGGGCCGGGTGCAGCCCCTGGCTTGCCTGGATCTGGCACCTGAGGCTCATGGCTTCTCCAGCATTGGGGAGCCCATGCTGGTGAAGGGTGGGGGGTTTTTTTGTTTTGTTTTTTCACTTGTGTGTAGCCCCTGACTGATTTTTCTGTGGATCAGTGGCCTGACCCAAAACAGTTTCTCCACCTGTGACCTACCTAATAAACTTTTCAAGCCCAGCTTTGTTCTCACATGGCATCTTTTCATCCAGGGACCTTAAAGCAATTTATAAACACGAATAAGGACACATGTATCTTATATTATTATGCTGACCTATGTTATGTGGGCATACGGCTGCCACAGTAATTCAATTGCTTTTGCATGTTACGCTACTTGCTTCAATTGTGAGTGTCTTCACCAAGTACAATTGTACATTGAACTGTCAGTGTATGAAGCATAATGGGACAGCTGCTGAAAGCCTATGACAGATCATGTAAGCAATGCATTGTCTATGCTGACACTATTAAATGCATCGATCTTAACTCTATGCTGCCCGTGGAGGTGGTGTTAAGCTGGCATTGCAATGTGGTTACATCAGCAGGAGCGAAATTTTAGTGTAGATATTTAGGCTGATGCAAGTTGCCTTGTGTCAACCTAACTCTGTAGTATAGACCAGGGATTTAGCTTGTACGGTAGGTAATATTCAGGCCCATTCATTGGCTCTCTAGTTATTGGTAAGGGCTCACAATTATTTATACTCAGGTTCAGGTCTCATCAAGAAAGAGAAGAAAATTGGGACTGTTGTTACTAGTAGCTATTACATTCTAAAATATTTATGACAAATTCTTGGAGAGCTGGATTATTTTAGCATTGAGGTTCAACAGAGCACGTTTTATTAGTCATTTACTGTATCCGACTGTTTTTCAGAAGTGTGACGTACAATCCAAAAGTATATATTGACTTAGATCTATCTTCCATATTTTAACGTTAAAGTATTTTGAGATGCAGTGCAAGTTATTTTCTATGTTTTATCCTTTTGAGTATATACGCACATGCATGTTGTGTGTATTGTTATCACTTCTTTACACCTGTACGTTTTAATGGAGCAAGCATTCAGTATATTCTGTAAAATCATAAAATACTATACCAGTTTTATGTCAGTAATAGACAAAATGTTCACACTTCAAAATTTTTATTTTGGGCAATATGCTGAGTTTTTTATAATTATCTTTCATGGTTCAGTGTCCTGCTATTGTAGATGTGGATTCAGAAGTTCTTGACAAAATGGTGGTCATCTTACTGGCATAGCTCTGTTTATGCACATACAAAGAAATCTTGATTGTATTTTCAGAAGCATGCATTAATATAAGCAGAATTTTACATTTGTAGTGATAACTCTGAATTTGCAATACATGGGTACGTCTAAACTACATGGCTCCGTCGACGGAGCCATGTAGATTTGTTGTTTTGGCAAAGTCAAATGAAGCCGCGATTTAAATGATCGCGACTTTATTTAAATTTACATGGCTGCCGCGCTGAGCCGACAAACAGCTGATCAGCTGTTTGTCGGCTCAGCGCGGCAGCCATGTAAATTTAAATAAAGTCGCGATCATTTAAATCGCGGCTTCATTTGACTTTGCCTATGTGTCTAATCTACATGCCTCTGATGACAGAGGCATGTAGTCTAGACACAGCCCATGAGCAGAATATTTGCTCACATGTTACCATCATGCCCATTCAACTTTCAGTTTATTAGCATGAGGGTAAAAAGGAACAGTGTTGTCTTGTAGGATCTTAGAAGACAGAGACACCTTGGATTTCTTGATATGCTGTGGAGATGTGGTAGCCTTCTCTGTTGGTTTGTGCAGGGAGGAACGGGGTAGGGCTAAGGCTATGGTTTAGCAGTTTCCTCTGCCCCTTTTGAGGTGTCCTGAGAGAGCAGTCTCTACATTTTTGCATATGCACAGACAGAAATTGACAGATCTTTTTGTGGGATGCACAACAAGGTGGAGGCACCTTATTCACTCCTTTCCCTTGCATCCACGGCAGGGACTATGATGATATAATCCAAAATGTATCCTTTGTAAGGGTCTCCTCCTTGTAATGGTGACCAGCAAAGATACTGAAAACATCAATAATTCGGGGAATATATTTCTTGTAACTCAAATCTCTTCCCTCCTTCCCATCTTTTCAGATCTGCAAAGACCTAATCCATTAATGTGGTACCACTGCATGCACTTTTACAACAGTGTTGCATCTACTCTGGATACTTACTGGAGACCACAGCCAAACTGTAGATAAGTTTTTGTGTGGGGGTGATTTTTTTTTTTAATATTGCACAGGTTCCATTAAGCCTTCCTTATGTATCTTATAGGGCATTTCCTAAAAGGTATAAGATGATATATTAGAAAAAAAGAAATATTGAAAACTACAGTACTGAAATCCAGCAATGGGTGGTAATTTCACACTCACCCAGACTGATTATGGGATGAATGTGACTGCCACCCCTACACTCTACTAGGGATCTTGGACTGGCTTAATGAACGATTTATGGTAGGACAAAACTTTTGGGACCTGACAAGAAATTAGACTAAATGTACCAAATAATTCTCTAACTCTTGAGTGTTTCGGGTATTAGTGTATATATAATAGGGCTTTTTTAAACTTACCTTTAAAATCATTATACTTCAGTCATCTATTGTATTCCCTCACGAAATCTGGTAAAAACATCTTTCCTATGCTGGTGTTAAATCCTCTGTTCATCTTTGTTCTCCTTGTTGATGTACTGACATGCAGTGCTTGTTAAGAATATGCCATTCTAATGTTTCTTTACAGATTACACTACATTGAGATCTCTCGTGAGTAAACAGGATCTCTTTCTCATATCGGTTGCCTTTAGTAGTATTGAAGATTTTTCATTTTTTTTTTTAAATATCTTCACTTCTTAAAGATCGTCAGTGTTTAAAAAATTGAACATTGTTTTTTTTGTGGTAATACTGTCAGTGTATATTACAAATTCCTGTCTTCAGGGCCATGTTACTTCCTGAGAACACCTTTTAAATGGATTAAGGGAGTAATTTTTAGATCAAATATCTTGGTCCTTTTTTTAAAATCAAGTTTGGGGGAAACACTTTTGTCTTAAGAGAAAGCAAAAATACCTGACAAGGATCCAATGCAGAATCCCTGCCTGATATTGCTAAAATTTGTGTTTTCCTCGCTGGTGGATTGAGTGGATAAAGAAGCTCTATTGTAGCTTAGTCTGGTTTTAACAACTTGTTTGGTTTTATTTATAAATTGCCATGTTTTTTGAAGTTAGCTAAATTTTAAAATTAAAAACTTCAATAGGCTCTTTATTCAAGTTTGAAAAAGTCGGCTGCTAGCTGACAAATTGACATTTTAAAAATCACTGCTGTGTATGTGCAATGAGTTAGACTTTCTACATTTTAAAATGTATCTGACATATCTGATCTAATTAAGGGCAGCTGAAGAAACCTAACAAATTAGCGTTCTCGTGAGAGTTACATTAGACCTCAGTTAAGTAAGCTGACTAAAATGGACTTCAGTGTTCTGAGGTAGACAACTAAATAGATTAAGTTGACTTGGTTCTTTTCAGATTTATTACACTCAGAGTTGATATGACAAGAAGAAGCCTTTTTCTTTTGTATGAAAAGTATTTGTGTCTACATTTCTAAGAATGTCAATATGAAGAGACAAATGGTGGGTAAGAGGAAAATATGTAATAATCTTTAAGTACCTTAGTGAAGTACTTTGCGGTCCTCTGATGAAAAGTGCTACGTTATTTTTTTTTTCCTGTACCCAGCTGAAAATTGCTCTTCATTCTCTGAATTTTCTTGCTTTCTTAGTTTTACGGCTTCAGCATTCTTTCTGTGTAGTTCTTACCCACCTTAATATGACTTGGCTATGAATTTGCTGTCAATTATTCTGGTGTATAATGTCAGGGGGGGTACCTATATACAGCAGGGCTTAATTCGAAATAAGCTATGCAAATTGAGCTATGTCAATTGCGTAGCTTATTTCGAAATAGCTTATTTTGCAATTGGGAGCATCTACACAGCACTTACTTTGAAATAGAGCACTCTTCCTCCGACTTCCCTTACTCCTCGTACAATGAGGGTTACGGAAGTTGGAATAAGAAGTCCTCCAGCTTGACAGTATTTTGACATTATTTCGAAATAACTGCCTGCTGGGTAGACGTGGACTAAGTTATTTTGAGAACGCTAATTACACTTAGTTTTTAAGCATTTCTGGGATATTGAACAAATAAAAACTGGCACTGAATTAATTTTCTATGTGAGTTTTAACATCTCACTTGAGAGAGCACCTGTGATTCTTTCTACAGTGTAAGGTCCTTTTCTGCTGGTATGCAAGAGACTTACACTCTTGTTGGCTTTGTTTAGACTAGAGTCATATTTTAAACTGTCTCTATTAACACTATCTCACCTCCCTTGTTGTATCAACAATGGGTGCCTTAGTGTAGACAGGCTCTCAGTTGACACAGTTCTTGAAAGGGTGACCGAGCCAGAGACCTTTTCACTAACCTGCCATTATGGGACCTGAACTGGTATTAGCAACAGTGGGAATTTTTTTGAATGAAGAACCTATGGGAGACAGAGTTTTAGTGTTGATGGGACTTCTTTAGTGAAGGGGAAAATAGACTTCTAAAAGTTTAAAATAAGCTACTTAGATTGCATACGTTTTTGTCTTACTATAAAGTCGACTATTTTAAACAGCACAGAAGTTAACTTATCTTGGCTATTATAACTGCAGCTTCTTCTCTTCTTGTTTTGCAGGAGCTGACAAGTGCTTTGATGCATGTGAAGCTACATCTTTTTGTCCAGATCTTTACGCTTGTGTTCTTCCCAACAGCAATATGGCTTTTTCTTCAAGTATTATCAGTCACACCTATAAATGAATGGCTTTTAAAAGGGTATGTTTAAACATTTAAGAGTGAAATATATTTATGGCTACTTGTTAAGGGCTGCTCTTGCAGTAATATGTGTTTAACAGTTATATAGTGAAGTGATTTCACTGTGTAGTTTCATGCTTTGACACTTGCTATTGAAGAAGCAGTGCACACAAGATTATCCTTTCAGAAACATGGTATCATGTTTAGAAAGACTTGTCAGCTGTTTTCATGTGTAG